GGCCTGTTAATTAATGAATTAAAAAATCAGTCAGACATTTAATGAATTAATCAGGGTTAATCACAGGCCTCCAGTTAATTAATTAACTAAGTACTCAGGCACATAATGAATTAATGAGGGTTAATCACAGGTGGCCTATTAATTAATTAATTGATTGATTCTGTGGAATTAATCCTGGAGGGCCAATCAATCAATAGGGATTAATCACAGATAATTAACTAATTAATTAATAAATAAGGCATTTAATGAATTAATCAGGGTTAATCACAGGCATCCAGTTAATTAATTAATTAATTGATTGATCAATTGAAATTAATAATGGGAGGACAATGAATCAATTGGGATTAATCACAGGGGTTCTGTTAATTAATTAATTGATTGATCAGTTGCAATTAATCACAGGGGCCCAATCTATCAATAGGGGTTAATCAAACGGGGTCAATTAACTAATTAATTGGTGTGGGTTAATCACAGGGGGGCAATTAATTAATTGGAATTTAGCACAAGTGTCCTGTTAATTAATTGATCAATGGGGATTAATCACATGGGGACAATTAACTAATTAATTAATGTGGGTTAATCATGGGAGGCAATGAATTGATTAATTAATGGGGATTAATCACAGGAGTCCAATTAATTAATCCATTGGGATCAATCACAGGCAATCGATTAGTTAATTAATTAATTAATCATGCTGGGCTGATGATGGGGCCCCAAATAATTAATTAATCAGGATTAATCACAGGGGACCAATTAACTGATGAATTAATTGGGATTAATCGCGGGGGGACAATTAATTAATTAGTTATTCAGGATTAATCACAATGAATTAATTAATCAATCAATTGAGATTAATCACACGGGTCTAATTAATTAATTGGAGTTAATCACATTAATTTATCCAGGGTTTAATGACAGGGGTCCTTTTAATTAATTAATAAACCAATCAGGACGGATCACAGACATTCAATTAATCAAGTAATTAATGGTGATCTACCCCAGGCGTCCAATTAATCAGTTAATTAATTAATTAAGTCCAAAGGGGTTTAATTGCAGCTCTGTAGTTAATTACTGAACCGTGACTGCAGGTGCCCAGTTAATTAATTAATTAATTACCCCAGATGTCCCCAGGGATCGACTGCAGGTGTTCGACTAATTAATTAATTAATTAACTGCGGCGCCTCCGGAGGATTAAAAACCTCAAGGGGGCAAATTAATTATTTACAGAAAAATAAATCAATTTAATTGGTTAATTAATTGCATTAATCAATTTAATCACCACCCTCCTCCCCATGAATAATTACCATCACTTAAATTAAATTTATTAATCACGGGTTAATTATTTACCCCGGATTAATTTAATCTTAATTAAATTAATTAATTCTTTAATTAATGCACTGAATTAATCAATCTCGATGGCCCCCCGAGGTAATTAATGACGACTCTGGGGTCCATTAATTAATTAATTAGAAGCTCTGCAGAAGCCTTTTTATACTGAATTAATTAATTACCTGGAATAATTAATTAATTAAATAAAATTAATTAATTTAATTCCAAACTCTGATTATTTAAATAATTGAGGCCCCAATTATTTGTCCCTAATCAATCAATTACGCTGATTAATTAATTAATTGTGCTGGGCTATTTGTCCCTGATCAATTAATTAAATTGATTCATTAATTGATTGATTAATTAATAAATTATTTTTCCACATTTAATTGTTAATTAATTCCCTAATTAATTAGCAAATAATGGCCAGAATTAACTAAAGATTAATTAATTAAGTAATAATTAATTAATTTTTACTCCCCCGGCAGAGACCGGGAGGAGCCACCAGGGGGCGGAATTTGGGGTGAAAAAACGGGATTTTGGGGAAAAATCGGGATTTTTGGGGGGAAAAAAAGGGATTTGGGGAACAAAAAGGGGGATTTGGGAGGAATTGGGTCGGGAAAGGGCCGGAAATGTGGGAATTCTCAGGGAAAAGGGCGGGAATTCCCTCAGAAAATGGCGGGAAACGAGGGCAGGAAAAGGCGGGAAATGAAGGAATCACCTCAGAAAATGGCAGGAAAAGTGGGAATTACGTCGGAAAATGGCGGGAAATGAGGGAATTCCGGCAGGAAAAGGAGGGAAATGAGGGAATTGCCTCAGAAAATGGCAGGAAAAGAGGGAATTACCTCAGGAAATGGTGGGAAATGAGGGAATTGCCTCAGAAAATGGTCAGAATTCCCTCAGGAAAATGGCGAGAAATGAGGGAATTCCCTCAGAAAATGGCGGGAAATTAAGGAATTGCCTCAGAAAATGGCGGGAAATGAGGGAATTGCTTCAGAAAATGAGGATAAATGAGGGAATTGCCTCAGAAAATGGTGGGAAATGAGGGAATTACCTCAGAAAATGGTGGGAAATGAGGAAAGTGCCTCAGAAAATGGTGGGAAATGGAAAAATTGCCTCAGGAAATTATGGGAAATGAGGGAATCGCCTCAGAAAATGGCTGGAAAAGTGGGAATTACCTCAGAAAATTGTGGGAAATTAAGGAAGTGTCTCAGAAAATGGGAATTATCTGAGAAAAAGGGGATGAAGGAGGGAATTGCTTCATGAAATGGGAATAAATGAGGGAATTGCCTCAGGAAATGGTGGGAAATGAGGGAATTGCCCCAAAATCAGAGGAAATGACACAAGAGAGGCCAAAAAATGCCACTTTTCATGGAACCACCACCCGAAAAACCGAGTTTCTTTTGCCAAACCCCCCCAAAGTTGGGGGAGCCCCAGATCTCAACCATTGACCCCAAATCTCAACCACTGACCCAAATCTAAACCATTGACCCCAAATCTCCACCGTTGACCCCAAATATAAAACGTTGACCCCAAATCTCAAACATTGACCCCAAATCTCAACCGTTGACCCAAATCTCAGCTGTTGACCCAAATCTCAACCGTTGGCCCCAAATCTCAACCATTGACCCAAATCTCAACCGTTGGCCCCAAATTTCAACTGTCAACCCCAAGTCTCAACCAATGGCCCCAAATCTCGACCGTTGACCCCAAATCCCAACCATTGACCCCAAATCTCAGCCGTTGACCCCAAATCTCAACCGTTGACCCCAAATCTCACCTGTCGACCCAAAATCTTGACCATTGACCCAAAATCTCAATTGTTGGGCCTAAATCTGAAGCACTGACCCCAAATCTCAACCATTGACCCAAATCTCAACCGTTGGCCCCAAAACTCAACCATTGACCCCAACTCTCAACCATTGACCACAAATCTGAACCATTGACCCCAAATCTCAGCCGTTGACCCCAAATCTCAACCATTGACCCCAAATCTCAACCGTTGACTCCAAATCTCGACCGTGGACCCCAAATCTCAACCACTGACCCCAAATCTCAACCGTTGACCCAAATCTCAACCATTGACCCCAACCTTGACCTTTTGCTTAATTTGGGGTAATGAGATTTAGGTTTGGGGCCGATGGTTGACACTTGATGTTGAACCAGTTGAGTTTTAGGACAGAACCAGTCACTGGGAGGGTCCCGGCCCTCCCAGGTGGGTCTTTATCCCCCGGCTCATCCCGATATTCCCTTTTCTCCCCCCGCAGGGCTGTGGGTGGCCGTGACCCTGGTGGAGTCCGGGGGCGACCTCAAGGCCCCGGGGGAGTCCCTGCGGCTCCTCTGCCGCACCTCCGGCTTCACCTTCAGCGACTACGGAATGGGCTGGATGCGCCAGAGCCCCGGGAAGGGGCTGGAATATGTGGCTGGGATCACCGACACTGGTGGTGCCACCAACTACGCGCCGTCGGTGAAGGGTCGGTTCACGATCTCCCGGGACAACGGGCAGAGCTCGGTGACGCTGCAGATGAACAACCTCAAGGAGGAGGATTCCGCCACCTATTTCTGTGCCAAAAGTGGTTCTTCTAGTGGTGGTTTTGGTGCTGCTGGTATTGACCCTCTTGGAGGGGTCCCCAAACCGGGCCATTGAGGTCAATGACCAAGAGTTTGGGTCAACGGTTGATATTTGGGGACAACAGTTGAGAACTGGGGCAAAACCAGCCCAAGGTCGGGACCAACGACCGAGAGCTGGGTGTGAAGGGTGGAGGTTTGGGGGGAGGGTCTGGGGTTTGGGGACAGGTGGGGACCCTGCCAGGGGCGTCGATACCACGAGTAAAATCACCACCAAAATAACTACTTTTGGCACAGAAATAGGTGTCGGAATCCTCGTCCCTGAGGTTGTTCATCTGCAGCGTCACCGAGCTCTGCCCGTTGTCCCTGGGGATGCTGAACCGGCCCTGCACCGACGGCGCGTACTCGGTGTAACCACCACTGCTGTAGATCCCAGCGACCCATTCCAGCCCCTTCCCGGGGCTCTGGCGCACCCAGCCCATGTTGTAGCTGCCAAACGTGAAACCAGAGACGCAGTGACTCCGACATGGCCTCCACCTTCCTCCCGCTCCTCCTCCCCCTCACCACCCTCCCAGGTAGGTCCCGGCGCCTCCGACCCTCCACCCCAATCCCAAAAAATCCCCGGGATCACCCGGCTCATCCCGATATTCCCTTTTCTCCCCCCGCAGGGCTGCGGGCGGCCGTGACCCTGGTGGAGTCCGGGGGCACCTCAAGGCCCCGGGGGAGTCCCTGCGGCTCCTCTGCCGCGCCTCCGGCTTCACCTTCGGCAGCCACGGAATGATGTGGGTGCGCCAGAGCCCCGGGAAGGGGCTGGAATGGGTCGCTGGGATCACCGAGATTGGTGCTATCACCCCGCGTGGTGGTGTCCCCTACTACGCGCCGTCGGTGCAGGGCCGGTTCAGCATCCCCAGGGACAACG